CTGCTCTTCAAACACAGGAGCCAGGGGTTTTGCTGACTGAACCCCAAGCAATCAGGAGAGAGCCTGGGGTTGACTAACTAGAAGGTGGCATCTGACCTTCAGTTGGTGGGATTAGACAACGTCCACAAGAATAAACTTGAGCCACCCAGCAGAAAAAGCTGGACAAGAAGCTTGACAGTTTCCAAGGCAGGGAGGGGGGGTGTTTGCTTCTTCCTTTCCAGTTTAACTGGTAGGTCAACAATCCGGATGACACAGAAAGAACATCAACCCCCCACAGCTTGCCCAATACTCTTCAGTTTTAGGTTAGTAGGGTCAAGAAGTGCCACCTGGAAGGGTTTTTCAACTGCTTTTGCCAAAGTGAGTGATGCTTGACTCATCTGTGGCTTCCAACCCACCACCTCGTTTTCCCAGCAAGGCCAGAGCTTCTCTTAATTCACAGAGGAAGGACAAATTCTCCTTCACCACGGTCATGTGCATCAGGCTTCACCAAGCTCCACTTCACTAACAACTTCCACAGCAACTTGGTTTCCTGCCTGTTCTCCTGAAAGCTTCAAACCCAGAGGAGACTCATGGAAGGGATGGTCTTCTGAGTGAGGACAGAGCAGAACTTGCCTTCTCCTTCCCAACTCTGATGTGATGGGTTTCCCTCTCTAGTGCCACTGAAGTGCCTACACAGATGGTGTCACCACTGATCAGCACTCAGCAACAATATGGGCACATGAAGGCTGAGATCCTGGTATCACACCCAACCTCCCCAAAACCAGGGAGCCATCATCTCCACACATGGTGGCTCCTAAACATGTCTGAGCTGGGCAGAATCATAGAATGGTTTAGGTTGGAAGGGACCTTGAAGATGATCCAGTTCCAACCCCCCTGCATGGGCAGGGACACCTCCCACCAGCCCAGGCTGCTCCAAGCCCCATCCAACCTGCCCTTCAACACTGCCAGGGATGGGGCAGCCACAGCTTCTCTGGGCAGCCTGGGCCAGGCTCTCACCACCCTCACACCAAAGAATTCCCTCCTCATGTCTCATCCAAATCTCCCCTCTTCCAGTTTTAATCCATTCCCCTCATCCCATCCCTCCCTGCCCTTGTCCCAAGTCCCTCCCCAGCTTTCCTGGAGCCCCTTCAGGCACTGGAAGCTGCTCTAAGGTCTCCCTGGAGCCTTCTCTTCTCCAGGCTGAACACCCCAACTCTCCCAGCCTGGCTCCAGAGCAGAGCTGCTCCAGCCCTCCCAGCATCTCCAGGGCCTCCTCTGGACTCTCTCCAACAGCTCCATGTCCTTCTTGTGTTGGGAGACCCCAAAACTGGACACAGTACTCAAGGCCAAGATCCTGGTATCACACTCAACCCCCCAAAACCACAGAGCCCCCATCTACCTATGTGGTGGCCCCTAAACATCACATCTGGCTTGGGCTGAAGAGGACAATCCTGTCCCTCCTCTGCTCCCATCCATGAGTGCATGTTCCCAGTGCCTCCTCCAGGCTGCACCTCTTGAGTTGGCAAGAGCCCTCCACTGGGTGGGATCCAGCACGACATCACAGCACACATGTCCCTTCTTCCACCAAGCACAGATTCAAAGAATAATCCAACTTAACAAATAAAACCATGTTCTTTTGATCCCACCTCACTGAGAACATTAGGAAACCCCAGGCACAGCAGCTCTGATGACCACACCAAGACCAGCTGGTCAAAGGTCACCACGCAGCAGGCAGGACATCAAAGACACAAAAACACAGCCTGTATTTACTGTTTGAAATATTTGTTGGGTTTTTTTATTATTATGCATCATGAACCTTTCACACAAAATAATAAAAAGGACCCCTAAGGTGATACTTGAGAAACCTGAAGGACTACAGAGTGTTTGTGACTGTGCAGACTTCAAGGACACCTCATGCTCCAAGCCTTGGGAGAACCAACAGGGCTAACATGGATTTTAGCATAAATCTTGCTCTGGCTCTGCTGGTTTGGATTATAACTCCAGCTGTTCCAAAACCCTGGGAACACTGCATATTAAATTCAACACACCAGGAAACAACACCAGCAGAACAACCCTTTTCCTTCAGAACTTCCATCCCATGTCATCCCAACCTGAGGACAGGGAACAATAATTCACCACACATCTCCTACATGGATTCAGCCCCTGGTTTGACCTTTTCTATCAGCTTCATGGCCGCTTTATCATAAGCCATTTCAAAGAAAAAATAATCAAGTTCTCTCCAGTTTGACACCTGGTCACTAAAGCATCTTGTTCCAGCTGAGCCCTTTGTGGTGGAGTCTCCACTTCTGCTGCAGGTGGTCACCTCAGGGCAGGTTCAAGTGCTCAAGGGTGGGTGAAGGGAGAGGAAAACTGAGCCATCCCAGTAGCTTCAGAATCCACAAAGTGCATCTTCAGACTGACCTTTTCGGACCCCTAAGGTGATACTTGAGAAACCTGAAGGACTACAGAGTGTTTGTGACTGTGCAGACTTCAAGGACACCTCATGCTCCAAGCCTTGGGAGAACCAACAGGGCTAACATGGATTTTAGCATAAATCTTGCTCTGGCTCTGCTGGTTTGGATTATAACTCCAGCTGTTCCAAAACCCTGGGAACACTGCATATTAAATTCAACACACCAGGAAACAACACCAGCAGAACAACCCTTTTCCTTCAGAACTTCCATCCCATGTCATCCCAACCTGAGGACAGGGAACAATAATTCACCACACATCTCCTACATGGATTCAGCCCCTGGTTTGACCTTTTCTATCAGCTTCATGGCCGCTTTATCATAAGCCATTTCAAAGAAAAAATAATCAAGTTCTCTCCAGTTTGACACCTGGTCACTAAAGCATCTTGTTCCAGCTGAGCCCTTTGTGGTGGAGTCTCCACTTCTGCTGCAGGTGGTCACCTCAGGGCAGGTTCAAGTGCTCAAGGGTGGGTGAAGGGAGAGGAAAACTGAGCCATCCCAGTAGCTTCAGAATCCACAAAGTGCATCTTCAGACTGACCTTTTCAAAGGCTGGGGACAGCCCTGCTGACTCACCAGCACTCTTGGGGTTTTAAGAATGACCAAATTACAAATTGCTACAAGAACCAAGAAGAGTAATTCCCCTTGCACCTTTGCTCCAAGACCAAAAAAGAAATCATCCCAGACACAGCATGAACTTCTGTGCAGCTCAATCACTTCTCCTGTTTTCCTAGGAAAAACTGTTCTCTCCAGTCTTACCATCACCTTGTCTCCAAAGCTTCTTCCACTTGAAAGTCCTTGATGCTCCTGGGATGTATCTGTTGCTTTGTAGCCACATCTCAATCCATTTGGAAAGCCACCATTTCCACTGGTGAGGGACTCAACGTCCACCATTAAAGCAGCAGATTAAAGGGAAGTACCATCCTAGTGCAGCCTTCAAGGGAGGGGGGGGAAAGGGTGGAAGAAATTCTCTTTAAAGCCACTCGAGGGACTGTCTGAAAGCGACTGCACCTGGTTCTTCAGGCCAAGGAACAGGAGATGCTGGAGCAGGTTGTCATGTATTTTGAGGAATGAAATCCTTGATACTTCTCTTCTGGCATGCAACACACTGGTGACAGTTCTCCAAACTGCAGCACATGGGATTAGGAGGGTCTTCAGCTTCATGTGCCACAGGCACCACCAGAAGCCTCCCCCGAAAAGAAATGCTCCTTGTTTTGAAAGCTGAGCTGTTCCCTCCAAAGCAGGTTGAGCCATCTCTCTTGTTCTTCCAGCTGCAGGAACAGGTATAGCAGGACGCTTTCAAACTAACAAAAAAAACCCCCAAACCAACCCAAAAACCCAACCCAAAGAAGTAATTCTACATTTGGATGAATTTCTACTTCTGCCATAAAACCTTTAATAGCAAACAAGAGGGTTTTCAACACAGAACGTGGCCAAGGATCCCCACCACATGCTGTCCCCATCACACATGGCTTTACAGGACATGGGTCTATTTTACAACCTGATCACTCATTTCTTTGGAGACTTTTTTCCCTCCCCCACCCAACACATCCAATTTCCCAGAACAACTTTGGCCCAGAAGTCTGTAAGGGACCTGACTCTGAAGCTGGTGTTGAGCCCTCTTGAGTATTTGCCAGTCAAACAGCAACAACAACCCAAAAAATGAAACTGAAAATCCTCCCACAAAATGTTTTGACACCTAAATCAAGGGGTTTTGGACCTGCCTGGGAGTTAATCCCATGAAGAAGTTGCTTTGTTTCACTCAGATTACAGTGTGGAAACACCAACGTAACAACTGTGGCCTCAGCAGTGCCACCAAAATGGAGGGATGTGAGGGAAAGCAGAAGACTGAGCAACGAGCAACCCATGGCAGAATTCAACAGCCCTTAGAAAAGCTTGACCCAGTGAAGCTGCCTGGCTTGATATAAACAAAACCTCAGATGCTGCTTCCAAATCCCCAGTCCACAAGCTCTTTCCTCCATCAGGTGAAAAGAGGAAGGAGGTTTGTGGTGGGTAGTAACATCATACCCCATGTGTAAGGCCTCATTTGCATCAAACAAGCTCTAGGTTATAGGACTATAAATACAAGGTTGCCTCCAAGTCATCAGCTCCTCCCACCACGGTCTGTTGCCAGTGTGGTAACCTGCTTCCAAAAACATAGAAGCTGGGCTGTAAACTGGTGGCAAGTTTCATTCTCTGTAAGCTTTGGGGTCAGAGGGTGCAGGCTGGAAGGGGTCACGTATCAACACGCGGTGCCGAGTTCTGTAAGAAGACAAGAGTTGAGTTGGCTTGGTTGGAGCATCTCCCTCAACCAGAGTCCATGGTAAAGAGCTGGATGTCATGAGGGTTCCAGTACAGGGCCACGGCAGAGTTGTAGACCAAGGACCAAATGTAGGGGATGAAGAACTCCTCAGGCTGCTCCTCCTCCACGTACTTGAACTTCAGCTCGGGGAACTTCTGCAAGAAGAAACCGAAATCAGTTGAGGGGAGGTTTGTGTGTTTGGTTGCAAACACATAACCCACCTGGACACTGAAAAAAGAGGTTTGGTGAAGAAAAAAAACACACAAAAGAATGGAAGGAACCGAACCATTAGAGCTGAAGGGAAAAGATTTAGGGGATAAAGAGATCATTTATAACTTCTTCTTTGAACTGGTTCCTTGGCATCTTGGATCCAGCCCTCCCACCGATGGTCACACTCAATTTGCCTATTAATGACTGAAGATGTGAAGCCTTCACAAAACTGTCATTTTTAGCAGCCCCCAAAAAACCTTCTTTCTACTACATGTGCAGACAAATCTACTGCAGTTTTCCCTAAAAAGCATTTTCCTGTTCACTGCTCTCAGCTCCTTAGCAGGAGAATCCTGTGGGAAAGCTGTAAGATTAACATGTGATGTAAGATGTGACATGTTTTCAGGAATGCAGGGTTATGGAAAACTGACTTTTCCCCCTCAGCTGCTTCTCAAAGACTTTCAGGATGTAGAAGCTTCCAGGAGAGAAATGCTCTTCCTTCAGGAAGCATGATAGGAAGCACATCTAGGCTCTCCTAGGATCCAGGAGGCCACCTCCAGTTTTGCTACAGGTTCTTCTGTATTTTCACTATAGAATCATGGAATGGTTTGAGTTCGAAGGGACCTTGAAAATCATCCAGTTCCAACCCCCTGCATGGGCAGGGACACCTCCCACCAGCCCAGGTTGCTCCAAGCCCCATCCAACCTGCCCTTCAACACTGCCAGGGATGGGGCAGCCACAGCTTCCCTGGGCAACCTGGGCCAGGCTCTCACCACCCTCACAGCAAAGAATTTCTTCCTAATTTCTCATCTTGTCCCAAGCCCCTCCCCAGCTTTCCTGGAGCCCCTTCAGGCACTGGAAGCTGCTCTAAGGTCTCCCTGGAGCCTTCTCTTCTCCAGGCTGAACACCCCAACTCTCCCAGCCTGGCTCCAGAGCAGAGCTGCTCCAGCCCTCCCAGCATCTTTCTTGGCCTTCCCTGGACTCTCTCCAACAAGCACTTTTGCACTGTGCTCTTCAATAATTTTATCTACCTCTAAATGTTGGTGGTGTCAAGAGTTTGGCAGAGCCTCAGGCAGAAGCCACATTACAACCATCACTGGGGGAAGATAAAACATGACCCATTTTATTATTTATAAGGCTGTGCCTAAGAATAAACTCCCTGGTGTGACAAGCCAGGAACCTTCTTGTCCATTAATTATGAAGGGATCCCCTCTCATCTTCCTTCAGCTCAGTGTCCTATTTCCTTGCTTTAGAGCACAAGACCATTCTGGGTGGCAGAGTCTCCTTTGAAGAGACACTTCTGGGCCACTTGGCTATCAGGGTTATTTATTTAACTTCTGCACACCCAGGTTCCTTGTATTCTTGGAGGCAGGAAACATGGAAACAATTCTGCTCCTTCATGGATCTCACAATCACCCCAAGCCACAAAGCTGCACCTTCAGGAGGAACATGTCTTCATGGCCAGCTTCATTCAGCCTCATGCTGTCTCCTATGGTGGGCTCTCAGCAACCTGATCTAGTTGAAAATGTCCCTGTTCACTGCAAGGCAGTTGGACTAGATGACCTTTAAAGGTCCCTTCCAACCCAAACCTGTCTATGACTGAGGAGGATGTTGGTGTCACCTTCCACTATGCACCAACATTCTGGAGCTGCCGTGGTTTGGTTAATGTTGGGGTCAGATCCTTCACCCCAGCTCTACTGAGCTGGACACCAATACAGAACCTTACCTTATCTCTGTCTAAGGAACTCAGGCAGCTAAAAGATAAGGTTGTTAAAGGCACTTCTGCAACCATCTCCTGTTGAGTTCAAAGCCCAGAACCTCAAAGGTACATCAGCAAGTTTCATTTCCTGTGTCAGACAAGCAGCTTGTGGTAGAGAAGCTCTCCCACAGCCCTTCTGTGCCCATAAACCATTTTCTACCACCTCTCTCCCCAAGTCTGTTTTGACCAGACTGTTTAATCTTCTGCATCAGTTTGTTTTCTCACTCTTAGGTGTCTTGCACCCATACTCATCCTCATCTTTAATTCCCTGCCTCTTGGTCTATTCCCATCTCCAGCACCTTCACAGTCTCTCTTTAGTTGAACTTCCTATTTTGGTCTTGCCCAAGTTGTCTTTTTTCTCTCTGGCCTGGTGAGATCCCCTTTTTCACGAACATCCTCTGTCTTTCCCATCTCAGCACTGATTCCTCAAGCCACACCTGCCTTCCTCCTCTTGCCTCCCCATCCCACCTCTCAGAACACCACAATTCTTCCAGTGGGTTAAACCTCCCTCCAATCAAGTACATTTTCATCACATATATTTTTTTTAACTCATCTTCTACTCTTGCTTATCCTTGGTGTCACCTTCCCCACTTCCCTCCTAGATGTTTCCTGAGTTGTGGTCAGCCTAGACAGGAACAAGTTCAGTTCAGCATTGCATCAGCAGAAGGAATGGTTGAAGCTCATGATGAAACCACCATTTCCCAGCAGAGAAAAGCCCTTCCACAGCTGTCACTCCTCACCCCAAAGGTGGCTCCAGCCCATAGGAGTCCTCCTGGTAGGCAAGGAGGAGGCAAAAAAATGATTAAAGATACTAATTTGAGCTGAATTCAACACAGAGAACATTTTTCACCTTCAGGGTCCAAGGTTACAGTGACTGGATTTGCAGGAGTCTAGAATGGTCCTGCTGGTCTGGGACTTAATAAACCTCTTGAGCTTGAAAAGAGGAGGTAAAACCTGGAGTAGAAATTCCAGCTACAGCTGAGATGCTTGGCTCTTACTAACTCACCATCTCTCAGCATAAAAGAAATCACCTTGAATTCACCTTTTCAGGCAGTAAGAGTCGTGGGTTAATTTGATGATTAAGCCTCTTTTCTGATGTGATTATTAAGCCTTTCTTCAGCCTGATCAATCTTGCCACCTATTGAGCTGGTACCAGGGCCACGTGAGAACCACCTTGGGATGAAAGACTCCCTGCAATCAGGGCTCTCCCACACTCAACACATGCTTGGACCAGTCTGCAGGTTTATCTTGGGAATGTAGATAAGGATAATGAGATTTCTCAGGAGAGATCTGATCCACGTTACCAATCAATTAATCATTTCAAACACACCTTTATCAAAAAAAGGTCAGGAATGGCAGAAATGATCTCCTCTGAACAGAGGACTCAGGACTCCAGCACCTCCCTGGGCAGCCTGTTCCACTGTCCAACCAGTCCTCTGCTATTATGTCCAAATTAATCCTGCAGAAGTATCTGCTCCCCAACTTGGGACACCCAGATGAGTCACATTATTAGCACTTTCTGAAAAGCAGGACCACTTTGAGGCACCTTAAATGGTCCTAATAATAGAGTAAAGGTCTTGGCATGGGATAAATCATGAAGAGGGCCTACAGGAAAGCTGGGATGTTTTATCTTTATCTTCCCCCAGCAATGGTTGTAATGTGGTTTCTACCTGAGGCTCTGCCAACCTCTTGACACCAGCAACGTGGAGAAGTAGGTGAAATTATTGAAGAGCACAGTGCAAAAGTGCTTGTTGGAGGGAGTCCAGAGGAGGTCAGGAAGATGATGGGAGAGCTGGAGCAGCTCTGCTCTGGAGCCAGGCTGGGAGAGTTGGGGTGTTCAGCCTGGAGAAGAGAAGGCTCCAGGGAGACCATAGAGCAGCTTCCAGTGCCTGAAGGGGCTCCAGGAAAGCTGGGGAGGGGCTTGGGACAAGGGCAGGGAGGGAGAGGATGAGGGGGATGGATTAAAACTGGAAGAGGGGAGATTGACATGAAATCTTAGGAAGAAATTATTCACTATGAGGGAGGTGAGAGCCTGGCCCAGGTTGCCCAGAGAAGCTGTGGCTGCCCCATCCCTGGCAGTGTTGAAGGGCAGGTTGGATGGGGCTTGGAGCAACCTGGGCTGGTGGGAGGTGTCCCTGCCCATGCAGGGGGGTTGGAACTCGATGATCTTTAAGGTCCCCTCCAACCCAAATCAGTCTGGGATTCTCTGATCCCTTTTTTTCCTTCACCACCCCATTCATTCACCTGGATGGTGTTGCACGATGTACAAGTTTTTCATTACCTGTTCTCTTTTGCTCCTTCGAGGTTTTTCAACTCACTGCCCTGACATAAACAAGTCCAGCAGAGCCAATATTCCCATCTTCCTCCAGTCACAACCAGAGCAAAGACAACCCAAGATAATTTCAAACAAAGCAACCTGAGCCACTACTTAAAAACTTGAGAGCCAGAGGGAACCCAAGGATCTGACCTGCCCAACTCAAACACAGCCACCTCTTATCAGCTCTGGGGAATCAACCCACCACAGCACCTTATCTTGTTGTCTTCTGCCAGACAAAGCAGAAGTCAGATTTAGTGGTATGAAGGAGACAGACCAAGAACTCTGCAGACTGTCTGCCCCGTCAATCAGATGATTCGATGAAAAACCACAGGAAGTCCGACCAACAGATGTAGAACTGAGCTGCAAGAACTTCCCCACCACGAAAGTTCAACAATATTGGGCTTGTTTTGCCTCTTTTTGCTTTTTTTTTGGTTGTTTTTAATTTGCAGTGAAGGATGAGGAAGATAGCATCACAGCCAGCCAACAGCACCCAGCAGGGCTCCAGGCAACTCGGTGATATCTGAGCTGCAAGATTTGAGCCATACATGAAATGAAAAAAACCCCTTTCCCTTCAGAAATGAAGAGTCAGAGGTGCTGGGAGGTTGCAGGGTCATGTCAGTGGATGATCACTCAGAGTGAGTCCAGAGGAGTCGACAAAGATGCTGGGAGGGCTGGAGCAGCTCTGCTCTGGAGACAGGCTGGGAGAGTTGGGGTGTTCAGCCTGGAGAAGAGAAGGCTCCAGGGAGACCTTAGAGCAGCTTCCAGTGCCTGAAGGGGCTCCAGGAAAGCTGGGGAGGGACTTGGGACAAGGGCAGGGAGGGATGGGATGAGGGGGAATGGATTAAAACTGGAAGAGGGGAGATTGAGGTGAG